AAAAGACGCATTAAAATTTGTGTTAAAGATGTGTTAAAATTTGTGGTAATTTGCACGTCAAAATTAATTGTCATATTAAAAAATTATCACTATCTAAATACTTATCTCATCATGTTTTACTAATTTATATATTGTTTGTTTGTTTTTGTTTTTTTTTTATACGAATCCTTTTTTTGAATGACCACATGAATCTTTTTTTTACTAATTTATATATTTATAGTAAATCAAATGGTATTTGATATTTGTAGAGCACATACAAAATTCATTATTTGCGCATGAAAGAAGACTGAATAAATGAACAATAAAACAAATTGAATAGATTCATATATATTGAAACAAAATGTAATTTAATAGCAATATTTAACGACATGGAATAAAAAAGTAAACATAATAAGTATTTCATAATTACAAATTCTAAGAAAGATGCGAAAACATTATTCTGTATGTAATCTTCAATTAATTTAGCCGATCATGGAAAAATTCCATTGTATTTCACCACGCGAGTCCTACTATTAATCAAAAGCTTCCAATTGTGGTTTGTTGCTTTGTGCCACCCATTATTGACGTCAAGTTCATATTTGCCGATCACATACACGTCACCTTCTTTAAATACATCTCGAAATAAGCTCATATGCGCAGAACGTATCAATCCAGTTATTTGTGCACTCTACAATATAAATTTATACAAAATAACTTAACTAATCTGCGTAAGAATGTAGTTTGTACATAACAATTGAAAATATTACCTCTTCATCTTGGTAAATGATATCAGAGAAATTCCTTCTGTCCAATTCATATTGGGTCTGAACAATTCGAAGTGCTCTTAATTTCAAATAAAGCCTGTTGGCCCTATTAACCGCATGTAGTCTATCAATCACTGGTTCCATTTTTTTTCTCTATTTTTTAAAACTGTGTTTCTCTGATTTATGAATTGGTCAAGATTATAACAGGTTAAATAGTCGGATATATGTCTTTCCTACATATAAGGAAAATTACAACCGGTTGTATTAGATTATTATACATCACTCAAAAATAATAAAATATTAATTGACATATATATAAATGTGTTTTATCTCCTACAGATTTGGAAACAATATAATTGGGTGATGATGTAGATCTCTTTGCATAAGATATTTACGCATTTAACATATCTTATATGTTACTCAATAATTTCGTATTATGCCTTCAACATAATTTTGAGTAAAATCCATTATTAAAAGTGAAAAAAAAATCGCATAATATTAGGCATATCAATTGGTCAAAATCTTTGTTACGGAATGATAGAGATATTATATAAAACGCACAACTGTGCAAAGAGCAGCCACCAGCTGATTACAAACAACCAACAACTGAATACAAGCAGATTACAAAATCTTTCACTTAACAGATATTTTATATTAATGGATATATTTTATATTAATTGTCATATTTTATATTTAAAAGATCATTTCAAATCTGTGTTAATTTATACTTTATACGTAAATACTTAGGGGGGTGTATTCAATTTGGAATTTAAGTGACATTTTAAGACTTTTCGAGATTTGAGACTTTCTAGGATTTTCAGATTTTGGAAGAATTCTATGAAATCTCAAGTCCGGAGGTAGGATTTGAAGTGAGATTTCATATAAGGTTTTTTGTTTAGAAATCCTACAAAATCTTAAAAAGTCTTAATAAATCCTAGTGTCAAAAAAATTAAATACCTCAGGATTTTGTAAGACTTTTGAAAATCCCAATTGAATACCCCAGGATTTTTAAAAGTTTTAAAAAGTCTTAACAAATCTAAATTGAATACACCAGGATTTCTAAAGTCTTAAAAAGTCCTTAAAAATCCTAATTAAATACACCCCCCTTAAAACCGCATGAGATGAAGTTTATTTTCTTCCGTAATTGTGGGATATGTGTAATCTTTATCACAATAGGTAACAAAATAATTAATTGTGACATTTAAAAATAATCACAATTTAAATATCTATCTCATTATATCTTGTCACATTTAAAAATTATCGATATTTAAATACTTATTTCATTATATCTTGTTAAATAGTTATGCAAATACTAAGCTTATATTAATTGCCATATTTTTTTAAATGATCTGTTAAAATATAAATGGACATATTTTATAATTACATATATTTAAATAGTTATCAAAATCATGAAACTAAGCATGAACACGAACAATAAAAGAAAACATAATAATTTTATTAGTCACAAAATAACAATAAATATCATAATCAAAAACAAAAAAATTACAGTTCGGCTTAAAAATATTAAATGAAAACACGATATATCTTGCTCCTATCTAGTGGTGAGGGAAAATTCCTTCATATTTGAATACACGACTTCTCCTATGAAACACAATCTTCCACATGTGGTTTACGGTATTGTATATGGAATTATTAAATTCAACATCAGTGTCCGATTGCATACACCTCGCCTTCTTTCAGTACATCTCGAAAAACGGTAATATTCGGAGAACATGTTATGCCTTTAATTATGAACCCTACAATATAAAGTGTACAAATTAACAAAAATAATTTAAGCAATTATGTATTATTTGATTTGATATAACAAATGAAAATATTACCGTTTGATCATGAAACAGTATATGGAAAACGTTCGATGGCTCCCGATCGTGATGCGTTTCAATAATTCGGACTACTCTCGATCGCAGAAAAGGTTTGTTGACCCTATTGACGGAATCGATGGTATCAAAGAACAACGCCATTATATTTATATATGTATTGCAACAATTTATCTCTGTATTTTTATGAAGCACGGTGGGAAGGAGGTGAAAAAAAAATGGCATGAATTAATACCTTTTTATACAGTATTTATCTGGTGGTTTAGGTTAACGAAAAATAGGGAGATTTTTGTAAGATATTAACAAAAAAAATATGAGGATAAATACATGGATGATTGCGCGTGAATGGAACGAAAAATAGGGAAAGATTTTTGTAGGATATTAACAACAAAAATTTGAAGATAAATATGGATTGATTGCGCGAATGGATATTAACCAAAAAAATTGTGCGCAATTGCGCGTGAATGGACACAAATAATTCCCCAATTTTGGCATGTGAAGATAAATGAATTGCGTGAAAATTTGATGCCAGATTATAACAAATGTTAATGGCGTGCTTACAAAAGAAAAGGTCGGATTATAAATAGATTCCACAATTAGTAAGTTAAAGTTTTGACTCAATTATTTTAAGTTTCCAAAAAAGAATTTAACATCAACTTTTTTAGATACACTAGTGTGTGCCCCGTGCGATGCACGGAAACAATATTAAATTTACAATATTATAAATAGACCTCGAGTTTGAGTTACTAAGTGGAAACTACAGTTGATTCTATTTAAAAAGAGGAAGAAAAAAAATAATTATAAATTAAAGAGGAGGATAAAAAATACTTAATAATTATAAATTAAAGATTCGGGGTCAAACAATGTAAAATTATTTTGTATAAGAGAAAATAAAATTTATATTATTTTGTATAAGAGAATTTAAAATTTGGATGTTTAATATTAAAACACCTAAAATGTTATATTAGTATATGTAAAAGTATTCAAAATTTTCTATATTGTTTTTGCAAGATGTGAAGTCACCTACAACTTTTCTAAACAATTTTAGAAAGAAAACATATCTAAAAACATTTGAATTTAACATTGTATAAAAACGGTTTTTCTAGACTATTTTGTAACGAAAACATGTCTACAAATATTTAAATTTAACATCAGTTATGTATATGTGTAGGCTTGTAAGCAAATCAAACTTTTTTGATTTGATTCGATATTCGAATTCGAAATATTCGAATTCGAATTCGAATACGAATAATGTTTTATATTCGAAAGTTAAACGAATCCGAGTTCGAATTTGTAGATATTCGATTCGAAATTTGAATATTCGATTCGTTAACAATAATTATATAAATTTTATAAATTATATATAGTATACATTTTGTTTATAATATATATATATATATATATATATATATATATATTGCTATATTTCTACTATTTTCATGACATAAAAATTAAAACATTATAAATTAACGAATTTTCCTAAAAATATATGAAAAATAAAAATTATTTTTTGTAACTATAATATTTTTTAATTATATTTTTTTTTTTGAAAACGAATTCGAATCGAATCGAATATGTTCGAATATTCTAAACGAATCGAATACGGATCAAAAAATGAGTCCGTTAACGAATCGAATACGAATTCGAATCTTCGAATATTTTAACCAAATTCGAATCGAATCTCTGAGTATTCGCTTTGATTCGATTCGTTTACAACCCTATATATGTGTGTGTGTATATATATATGTATGTATATATAGACGAATATGTAAAAAGAATGTCTAAACAATTTGTTTAAAATATCTAAAATGTTATAAGCCTAATTTTCAGATGATACTGAATTTATGGTGTTACTTCCATCTAACAAAATTTGATTACACACAATTTCAAAATTATTATTATACTTTTTACGTTGTTATGAGGATGTATTGTTAGTTTATAATATTTATAAAAATATTAGTAATTAGACCGATGAAAAATAAATGGACCGTATTTTATTTTTTAAATAAGGGATAAGATTTTGAGTACCATACAAACAGATAAAAGAAATATAAATATTTACCAGCGGTTTTGAGTACAAAAAAAACAGGAAAAAGAAAAACAGATATATACTTTTTGAGTACCAAAAAAAAAAAGGAAAAAGAAAACAGACGATTTTTTTGCATATTCAAAATTAACCAACAATTACTATATATAAAATACATTTAATGATATTGGCGGGAAAAACTTGCTAAATTTGTAAAAAGATTATTCTTTTTTAATAATGATAGATATAGATATAGATATAAATTTTTTATTTAAAGGATTATACTTTATTTCTTGCCGTCAATTTCTTTTAATATGTCCCGTACATTTGCACAGGTAATAATACTAGTTATTACTTTAACAAGGGTGTTTGTACTAGTTTTAATTAAAATGGATACAATCGTGATTTTGGACCAACTGGACCATTGGAACTTTTACCGGAGGGTTGATCGGTTTAGTCGCCGGTACCGTATTTAAGCGGTAACAATGACCTATGTTACATCTTAAAACCACCGACACACACACACAATCTGCTCTCAATGTCATCGGCGGTGAGGTCATGGAGAACGGCGTTCCTGACCCTGAGGGACGAAACCCTGTGTTCACCTCCCGGTGCTACCGTCCTCCGCCTCCTCAACCAGCTCATCTTGTCCCAATCCAATACCCTCATAGCTGCCTCGCTGGACTTGTCGCCTCATGAGGTAGTATTTCTACTTCGGACGTGATGTGATCTGAATTTCTTCCGAATATGGTGATATATATGTATTTCTTCTCCCAGGCTACTTCAGACTTTATGCTGTTGATGGAGTTGGCTGGGAACATTTCTCAATGCCAGAGCGCCGGAGATGTTATTCTGCCATTAACTGAATTGTCTCAATTGGTACTAATCCGTGCAGTACCTGTTTTTTTATTTTTTGTTCAGATTTCCGTGTTATTTCTTCTTTGATGTGTCTTCAATCTCGTAGTGAGGAAGTAGAGCGTGGCCACTTATTCTTGGTGTTGAATGACGCGGGTTTTTGAATTTTCTGTTTTCGTTTCATGGTTTTGGAGTTGAAGTATTTGTTGGTATCAATAAACTCACGATGTTATGTCCTGTTTACCAAGGATGATGTTGATTTTTTTCGGCTTGCAGTACAAGGAGTCTCGGCACTGAGTCTTGGGTTGATGTCAGAAATAACATAATATTAGGAAAAGATAGTAATCCTGAGCTAGTTCATAGAATAATCTAGTTAGATATGAAACCACTGGAAATGATCATAATTGAGTTAGTACTCAACATTAACTATGACTACGTTTTAAGTGTTAGACAATGTGAGTTGGGTCATTCACCATCTCTGTAATAGTTTTTTGTTATTTTGAGTTTTTCTTCCCTTTACACCTGACCTTGGAGTATCTCTAGTGTTACTCATTACTAATTGCGTATTTTATTTTCTTTGCAATTTTGTTCTAAGAAAGGTGCATACTAGTGCATTAATCTGAATAAGAATGTAGAGAAATTAGAATTAGTTGTTAGGTGCCAAGAAGTTCTCAGTTCACGCTGAATGAACAGATGAGCCTAACTAATGCCACTGCTCATCTTTGAATCATTTGCTGCATCCAGATAATTTTATTATGATCTAGAAGATATTCAAACAATATTTATCCATCTGCATTGGATCTATGATACTGCATGAGCAACGCCATTAGGTACCTCATCTTGGATCTTTTCGTGCGTCCTAAGAATTTTATTCTGGTATAGGAGTTCAATGGTCTTACTCAAGAGCCTGACGTTGTTTTGGTATGCAACTCAATGAGTAGGAATAAATGAGATTTACATACTGTGCAAATCGATTTTGATGAAATAATCTTTGTGTATATGCTTTTTAGATCATAGTTTGCAAGATTTACAATATGCTAGCTTCACTATATATATTGAATATAAATTATCCTTATTTCACGAGAAATATCGACTGCCACAGGAATTTTGTTGCTGTGGTTATCATATTGTCTTTCTCATACAGTATCATCTGTCATAACATTACAAATGTGTTGTGCATCTGAATATTTTTGCCTTTATTTGCAGATTCATGGCATCAGCCATTGTTCTTCTTTGGAAATCAATTCAAAGTCTTGGGCTCCTGTGTTTGACTCTTTCAAAAGGATAGTACAAACTCTCATTAGCATGGGCAAATCGGATCGTGTGCTAATTGGAAACATTGCCATACTTAAAGCCACGTTGGACTGTTTAGAAAGTATACGGTGCGAGAGTCCTTCCCCTTCATGTTATATTCCTTCACTCCCTACATAGTTCCTTTCACATGCCTCGATAGTTTAAGCAATAAAATTTCCAAGGAAAATGAGCTCTGCTCCTCTGGTTGCTAGGCAGTTTTTTGTTAGGCTTTACACTTCGGCAACCGGATGTTATATTTGAGCTCCATAAGTCTATTCCTTTCCACTATTTTATTCACCAACCCCAAAACTTCTTTTTTAGTTTATATCTTTTCCTTTTATTTATATTAAAAAAAAAGGTATTGTTGAGGAGCTTGTTTGGCTTGTGTTGTATTTTTATTGATACATCACAACTAACAACACATCTCCATCCATATGTGATGTGCTGCTGATCTACTTTTTCAGATGCCTTTTTGGTTTATATCAAGCAGCTGCACTACTCTCAGAAAATGAACAACTACTGGCTTTTCTTCTTCAAGTGGTTGGTCATTTTCATGGGGAGTCAATATATGACAAACATGTAGCACGTGGAGTTGTATGCGAAGTCCTAACAACCGCATTTGCTATGATTGGTGAGGCATACTCGAGACTGGGTTCTTCTTTACCAGTTGACGCATGGCAGTCAACAATTGAGGTATGTGTAGATGGGCATTCACATACTAAAAGATGCAACCTTTAAATTGCTAACTTAGGTTTTCTTTTTGTCTTAGGTTCTCAGAAAAGTTATGGACATTGTGGCATCTAAGATCCATCTATTGGAGGATAACAATATTGCCATGTAAACTTATCTCTCTTGTTATTCAGAGTTTTGTTTTCAGGAGTTAATTTCCAGGAATCACATGGTGTTAACATCTCGGACAGGTTCTATATTGAGCTACTTCGTTGTCTGCACTTAGTTCTGACAGAGCCAAGGGGAAATCTGGCAGGCCATGTAAGAATTGCTTCTTTTTGACTGAGCAAGCCAGTAATTTACTTTTTTGATGAATTTATCACTTATCCAATAATTTTAGGTGGCTGGCTTTGTAGCAGCATTGAGGATCTTTTTGCATTATGGTCTTTTAAATAAGCCACATGTTGTGAATCAAGTAACTAACCACAAGAAAGAAGTTGGCTCTACTAGCAGAAACCTACATGTTGAAGTATCAAATAGATCGAGAAGTGATCCTTATAGGCCGCCGCACTTGCGAAAAAAAATTGTGGGAAGACAGCAGTTTAGCCATGAAGATGGCACGTTTTCTCCTAAACATGATATTGTATCATCGGACTCAGATTACAGTGATAATGATGGATCAGTGATAGATAAAAGCAGTGCTCTGTTTGCCAAGGCTAGGTTAGCTGCTATTCTTTGCATCCAGGTTTGTGAATTTTCAGTTATTTTCTTAATTTGGGATTCTAAACTTTCTGTCGCAAATTAGGTGCCTTTTAATGGTCTTTTGATTCTCCACATCCTTTTTTCCACTTCTGATTAGCATACCCTTCCACTGAAGTTTAGGGTATGGCTATTAATTGCTCCTACGTGTTCTGTGTGTTTATAGTTAATTTAAGAAACTCAAGCAGGTACAGAAATAGCATTTTCACTTGGGTAATAATTTTCTAATGGTAATAGTGGTCATTGATTTGGAGACCAAACGGAATTTATATTTTCTATCCTCTTAACATTTGGATTTTAATTTTCTGAAAGGATCTCTGCCAAGCTGATCCCAAATCTTTCACAGCCCAATGGACCATGCTCTTGCCATCCAATGACGTGCTACAGCACCGGTGAATCATTTATTTTCCTTGTTTAAGAAATATGCATGTGCTTGTGTGTATCTGTATATTTTCCTTTTGAAATATAAACTTGTAACTATTTCTCTTCCTGCTTTATGCAAGAAGTGTTCTAAGTTAGATAGAAACTTCAAGTTTATTCATGTCATCTATTTATCTTTCTTGTTTGCAGGAAATATGAAAGTACTCTGTTGAGTTGCTTGCTTTTTGATCCTAATTTTAAGGTATGATATATTTTGGTTCTGGAACACAATCAAAGACTAATTGCGCCCAATTTTCTCTGTTTTCCCCTTTTTCTTAGTTGTAGAATAAGGGACGAAAGAGAAAATATGAAAGTGGATTCAACATCTGCTGGGGTTCAAATTCGAATTAAATGAATATTAATAATAGAGGCGTGAAGATAGAGTAGTAAACGGCGGGTTTGTGCAAGAATAAAAATTCCTTTAATTGAAATACCACCCTTCGGATTGAAATAGAGTTTTGAAATCATTATCTTACTTATTATTTTGATTTACTATGGCTTTGATTGATTATTACTTACCAGTGTCTTTCCTGGTCTTTCATGCCTTGAGGAGTTTAAAATGGTTTAATCGAGTAATATATAGTAATTTCACATTACTCTACACAAACTGTTTATATAATGATATATCTCGAATTGCTTAGGTTCGGACTGCAGCCGGCTCTACTATTGTTGCATTGTTGGATGGCCCTGCATCTGTTTCCCTTCAGGTAGCAGAATTTAAGGGGCACTCCAAATGTGGGTCTTTCACAGCACTTTCTAGTTCTTTGGGCCATATCTTAATGCAGCTACATACAGGTGGTAGAATGGGGATTTTTTTTCTTGTTTGTGTTTTCCCATTTTTTCCTTTAAGGATTCACACATTTTATTTTTTGTTTTCTCGAATTAATAGTTTTGGATAAATGTGTATAACCTCCCTACATATGGTGAAGTTGAAAAGAACCCCTGCTAGAACCTGAGCCTAGAAACCTTTGTCATAATGTTTAGTTTTCTAAATCTATTCCTTCTTTATATTATATATTTTATTAGTTATACTATTTTCCTAAGTTAGGTCAAGAATAATGAGTACATTAGTCAATATGAGTAGATGAGACAGACAAAAACATCACATTTCCCCTTGAATATTTCTGGTTTTTATATTGCACATCTGTAAATTTAGTAGAACAAGGACTGTATTTTCTCTGATAAGCGCAAAATTAATCCTGTAAATATGGGGAAGTTGATGTGCTAGCTTTGTAACTTTTGAAGTAGCAATTTTACTTGTGTATTTTTCCTACTTTGGTCCGATAAGCTTTAGGTTTTGGTGAAATTCTGTTTCTGTAAGATCTGAGTTCGAGCTGGTTGATTTCTCATTACCAAAGTGCTGAGCCAAAGATTTAAGTTTACTCATAGATAAAGAAAATGAATAGTTATCGAAGCCTATGTTTGACTTAAAAAAGTTGAATTTATTTTAAAATTTATGCTGCAAGTTGTTTATTGAGATGAAAATTGTATAATTGTGATTTTAGGCAAAATTTTGCGATATGATGTCTAAGTTTGTGTACTTATTATATCAATACAAAGGCATGTACATATTTGGCAACATTGATTATTTGGATAATATTACTGGAATTGCCTTAACACAATGTACATGTAAAAGCGCCAACCTCACAAGACAGAAATTGTTATTTATATTCATGGCAAAATTGTCACCAGAATATTAGAATTTTAGAAGTTGCCTTAGTAATATTGCAAACACCTGCAAAACAAACAGGACCGATTTCGTCTTTTTCCTTGTTTTTGCCTTTTCTTTGCCTGCAGAATTTTTATCAAGGGGTTTTTGGATGCTATAATAGCACAAGTCTTTCTGTCTCTATGAACTTCTTTGAATCATAGGGCTGTTAATTAATTGCCGTAGTTTTCCGATAGCAACAAAACTAATGATTTTTTTTTTTACTGCACAGGTACACTGTATCTAATTAAACATGAAACCCACGGTAGGATGCTCGCATTGTCATTCAAAATTCTGATGCTTCTGATATCATCTACACCGTAAGTACTTCATTTAGGCTCATTCCCAAAAAATATTTTTCCATGTAGTATATTTTTTTGCAATGTCATGTGAAGTCGAAATTGAACCATAGGGATTCTCAGGGATGATTCAAAGCAATTTAGAGCGAAAACATATTTACCAGGTGCTTAGATATGACATCAGCAGTCATGAAAACCTTTAATTTCTGTAGTTTGTATAAGTATTATCTATCACTCTGTTCAACATAGTGAAGTAACTTCTTTAACACTCATTTTTGGGGTCATTATTCATCTAGCAATTTCGATTCTTTTGACTGGTACAATATAGTTGCCTAAGTTGTTATCATTGCCTACCTGACGTAGCGAAAGTGTAAAGGAACGGGAGAATTGAGAGGGAGCTCTCGTTTTTTCTTAATTCAATCAAAATCAATTACCCTAAATGATCATGCTCGTCCAGGAAAGCCAAACGCAATCTCGTCTCCATCACTACCTCTTACTACTTGAATAATCTCCTCTTTGATTAACGAAATGGGACCTTAAGTTGTGAATTGGAGCCAACTGGTCCGAACTTGTTTAGTCGTGCTACAAATTATATACTATGTGTGTCTAACTCTTCTTACATGAATTTTAGTTATTCGAGAATGTCTACAGAGCTACTACCAGGGGTTATCTTCTCAGTTCAATCAACTATCGAAGAGGGTTTTCCACATCAAAGCGATCGAAATAGCTTGCTGGTTAGTATGTATGTTTCCTGCAGTCAAATGGTTCGACTTCCCATTGTCTGGCTTCCTTGGGTCTTGAAAATTATTAGTCCGATTTTCTGTACACTACCGCAACACTTAGTTTCTTACGTGTCATGTTATTGTGCACTTCCATTTAAGCTAGAGGATTATAAACAATCACAATTCTTCAACTCAACGTTATGAAATTTGAGATACTTCTATTGCTTCTATGCTTACAAAAAGAAACATTTTAAATTCCTTCTCTTATATTCAGTTTCGTAGGAATTTATCATAATCATAATTATTCTGAAACCAGTGTGTAAAGCCCCAGTAGTTTTCTTACTGCAACCAGAATGTATTACTACTAATTCTTGATTTGGCACCCTCCGTGTAATTCTGATTAGGATTTTTCATGGTTCACCATCCTTTAATTGTTCGTCCTGCTTTTCTTTTCAATGGAACATTGTGAAGACTTACCTTACTATCAATGTCTTTCGATTTTTTATTGAACAGCTTTTTTCCCATGGTTTCTGGTTGGTGGTTTAGATGCTCTCTGAAAAACATAAATTATTAACTGATTGCTTCTCATATCCGTTTTATTTTTTGACTGTTACAATGTGATGGCATTTAGATAGTGTTTGTGGTACTATGCATGAATCTTTTATGTATTCCTGTTGCTTGCCTTTTGGTCTGGTTTGTTTAACAATGTTGGGTTGCAGAATGATCGCTTGAAAGATCTTTGGATTCTTTCACGTGCACTTTCATATTTATTGCCGTCTGTTATATGTTCTTGTTACAGCTTCGTACACGAATAAAGCTAAATCTTTCTGGTTAATTTGTGCAGGCAGCTGCTATTAATTGTTTATCTCTAGCTCTTTCTGTGTCTCCTTCCTCAACACATGTCAACAGTATGCTGCTGGGAGAAATTTCCACAGGTTTGTATTATGCATCAGTCGAAATATACACAACTTGCAATGCATTTGAGTGGGTATTCAATTTGCCTGTTTAGTCAAATTGATATATGTGTTGGGGAATGTAGAAATGATACTTTGACATCATATTTTTCTTCTTGGTGTATTGAGGTGGGCAGTGGTAGAAGTATAGTTACCATTGTAATTATACGAGAACATAAGCTTGTTTCCTCTAATTTGGATTACTTCAAGATCTGTCCCTTTAAGTAGTAATCTTTAAATTTTGGTGTAATATCTTTTATAATTTTGGACATCTATTCCAACTTTCACCAGAATTGTGTAATTTTTATTGAGATTGCTAATTGGACCCATGGCTTCTTGTTTCCCAGAAATTTAGGAATTTCGGTAATTCGAAGTCACCAGGATTGACATGTGAATTTCGGAGTTCAATATTAAGTAGTATTTTTTACGCACAGCTTAGTGCTGGGCAGGTGACAAATTGGGGCCTAGTGCTTAGGCAGGTCATAATCAGAAGAAAAGGCTAAGTGGTTGTGTGAAGCCTAGTGCCAAGGTGGGCATTTTTATGTTTAGGTTTTTTTCTGCGCCAAATGATCAAATCCCCATTTTATTGGCACGTTTGCACCTCCTCGGTCACAGTAAGCAATTTTCAATAAAGCCACACAATCTTGGCCAGAATCAGATTTAGATGTCTTTATTTTAAAAGATATTGGAACAAAACTTGAATTGACTACTTAAAAGATTAGATTTCCAAGGAGCACAAAAAAACATGAAGTGACTACTTAAAGACTAGATCTCCAAGACGAACAAACTAGAGAAAGAAAATTCATTTCCCTCTTCTTCAATCTCCTGATTTTGTCAAAATTTTAAGCAGTACTGTTTAGCTATGTGAAGTGTGATTTAGAGGAAGGACATAAAATAGCCCCAAAAATAATTATATATTATGTATACAAATAATAATTCCTCCAGAATTTCACAGAACAGTCCCTAACCTTTACCATTTCCATTAATACTATTAAAATTTAATTGATTGTTAGACTGGTTTCCTTTCCATTTTCATATCAAGTTTAAGCAATCATTGAAATGTGGTTGTAACAGACATAATTTGTTAATTTAACCAAGGAAATAAATTAAATCCACTAATTTTTCTTAATCATAGAAGAGGTGGGTGGGATNNNNATTTAACTTGTGCATGATGGTGTATTTTAAGGATGTTGTAGCGATTCTCCCTTTTTTACTTCTAAAATTCTCATATTTCTTGTTTAGTCTGTATTTTTATGAACATAACTGTTCTCAAGGGACTTTGAGGTTTATTGGTTTACATTGATGTAATTATTATCTACCAGGATCACTTGAAGGTCAGAAGAAGACTGGTGTACTGAATATCTTATTTCGATATTCTGAACAATTATCAATCCCACAAACAAGTTTAGAAGCGTTTCAGGTAACAGCTATTCTGTTGGAAAGTATCTCTAGTTCTATGGTTAAAAGTTAAATATGAAGTGTTGATTCTATTTTAAGGTCTATTGACAATTACTTAACCTTGAAGTGTACCGTAGGCGGTAAGCCTCACACAAGAAGTAAGAAAAAGCATTCATGTATATGCATCTTGTTATAAAATCTTTGTGTTATTTAGCCTTACAAAATGATCTGGGCTGTATAAGGTTGAAGCTAAACATGGGGTTGTAGGGTTGATGCAAGCCCTATTGTGGCCTACTTTTTGGTCCTATTAATATTGAGTTTGAAGTGATCCTACACCTCCTTTGTCAAGCTCTAAGTCGCCCCTGACCTGCTGGGTTAGGTGGCTGGGTTAGCACCCATTTGATACAAAATTCATGACTTCGTAGTACCTTGATTCTCTGGATTTTGCTTTGATACTGCTGCATTTTGTTGTATCTCTAGAGTTTTCATTTTCCATACTCTCCTTTTGTCATTAGAATTTTCGATCCATCTTCAGTCATAACAGCTTACATCCACTTTATTCTTCCTTGTGCTTGTTGCTTGTTTCCAGTCTTCTACTTCACCATATATCACTTACATTAAATAACCTTATACTGTCTATCTGTCCTTACGTTGAACATTTAAACTTATGCATCTGCAGGCTCTTAAAGCTGCGGCACACAATTATCCGAATGTAATGGCTTTGTGTTGGGAACAAATTTCCTCAATTACTTACCGAGTTCTGAGCTCGGGTACAGATGTTCCTGTGAAATCTTGGAGGGCTGAGGTTGACAACACTGCTGCCCCAGTTAAGGAGAGAGGCACAGCAGCTGCAGTCAAGGTGGACCCAGCATCCTTAGAGCATCCACAATGCTTTGGGTCTCTTTTTGCATATGTGGCAAATAAATAGACATAAGTCTATAATGACATGGACAAACCCAAGCTAAAAAATCCAAAATCTATCCAATGCGGAAAAAAAAAAGTATTAGGTCTAGAATACCTAACAACCAATAAAAATACAATAATAGTAAATAATTGCTAATTGTAAGGTTCACACTTGGGTCCAAAATATAAAAATACAATAATAGTAAATGATTGTTAATTGTAAGGTTCACACTTGGGTCCAAAATAGACCCAAGAGTGGACTAGGTCTCTTTTTTTTATTGCCACATAAGCTGGACTAGGTCCACTTTTAATTGCATTGTGAAACACTTTTTTATAGACTAGGAATATTTCCTACATGGAATGTGATTTTTTTTAAAGAGACCCAAAGCATTGTGGGTGCTCTTACAGCATAGACATTTTTCATCCTCAGTATCCACTCTTATAATCAAATGACAAATTTGGGATCATTAGCAATCTTCATGCCAATGTGCATTTTTTTTTTCATATACACACCATGTATGTGATTTAATATCTTAAATCTGGAGAACGGCAAGTCCTGAAAGGGTATATTGATATGTTTCGTAAATGGTGGCGGAGATAATATTAGGATGGACTGCAGTCTGTATGATTGCAATGGAATATCAATAACATGCAACCACAGCATACTTGATATTTTTCAAACAAGATATCTATCTAATAATCCACGGTAGTAATGCCTTGCCCGGGACACCTCCATTTCCGTTTTTATGGTTTCAAAGTTATGTATCCCCAGTGCATATTTTATTATATCCTCAATCCCTTTCAGTCCTTTACCATGCAAGTGTGAGATTGGTCCATTGTGAACTAACACTTGTTCACCTGGTGAGGATGTGTTTGGTTGTCATTATCCTACAAAGTTCTTACAAGAGTATCAGGTGGAGTGAACTGTGCATATATTCTTTATCATATGCTGGGCCAAAGTGTATGCCTTTTGTATGGACCTAGAATATCAATGTTGGTTGCTGGTTCTGCTTTTGGTAAAATAGTATATATATTGCACGCGTTCATTGTAACTTGCATGCGAAGAACTTTTATGAATTTGATTTATCATATATGGTCCCTTGATATAAAACCATTTGTGCAGGTTCTTGATGAGTGTCTTCGTGCGATTTCTGGTTTTAAAGGAATAGAGGATCCTTCAAATGATAAAGTTCTTGATAGTCCATTTACATCTGACTACATGAAAACAACAACAATTTCATCCGCACCATCGTACAACTTAAAGATCCCTACATCAACTGATGATGAAACTAAAGCATATACTTTAGCAAGTGAACGCTGGTCTGAAGCAATAAACAAGCATATGCCTCTTATTATCAAACATTCTTCAGCTATGGTTAGTTAAATAAATTTATATTTTCGTTTTGCACCTTTGTCTATAATTTATTTTCCTCATTCAAAAGATAAAAAAATAAAAAAATAAAATTATGGGAACAGTCTTAAATTTGAAATCTCCTAATAATCCATGTTCTGTAAATGCAGAGTTTGATAACACTACTATGTCAATGTTAGATTCATGAGCTTCATATTAAATCAATTAAATTTCTTCTTGTTGCTTACACTTTTATGCCCTAGATTCCTGACAGCTCTGTTGCACACCAAAAATGTTAGTGATTGGATCAAATAGATCATAAATTATTCAAATGAAATTTTTTCTTATCAGGAAGTGGAAAAATATTTCCCAAATATCACTTTATTAATTTGTTAATGTGGAAACCCAAAAAGGCTATTAGTTGTAACAGGCCTGACAACATGGATGATTGAGTTAGCAGCTGTGATTGTTGGAACCAAATATTGGTGTAATGTTCCTTTTTGGAAGGAGAAATACTTCCTAACACAAAAGGAGATGATGAACTTAATGGCATTTCTTCCATTTCCATTATTTTTGTCAGTCATTTGTTGACTAATGATAAATGGGCTTGTTAGAACCCATCCCTAAAACTAGCTCAAAGGAGAGTGTCCAACCACCCTTATACACAATAACAACCCAATGATTAATCAATGTGGGACAAACATAAACTTCTAACACCTACCCTCACGCGTAGCGTAGCAATCCAAACATGCCTCGAAACAAACAAACATTGGTTCTTTGATACCATGATAAATTGTCTTGGGTAGAACTCATTCCCAAAAGCTAGATCAAAGGGAGAGGGTGACCAACTTATGCAGAGTAACTACCCAATAACTAATCGATTCGGCCTCTGGGACAAGCATAAACTTCTAACAAGTAATATTGAGTAGTTTGGTCCAATTTGAATTCATTTCAATGGTGAGTGCGACATATTTTTTGCCTTTGGGTTTTTTTGGCCATGTTCTTGAGATAACCGTTTCTTTAGACATTTCTGAGTTAAATTGTCCATTTTGTCGCTAGTTTACCTTTTCAGATTCGGTAAATATATTGCCTCTGAGAAACATGTCACATCCTAAAAATGAACCGGGCTACTGGCATTTTCATGTAAAAATAAAAAATAAAAAAATTGCAAAGTCCATGAGGGTACGGCCTATTTTTTAGTCAAAATGGCTGAAGATCTGTTTGTTTACCATGGCTAAAACCATTTCCTAAATTTTGCAATTTGGCAAGTTAGCAATTGTTTCATTTCCTCTTTGATTACTTAACCCCATGGTGGACTTGTTAAAAGCTTAAAATGTATCTGAATTTATCCATTTGTATTCATGCTGCAGTGAGTATGTGTTAGTATATATTGTGTAGAAACAGAATAGTCATATTAGGAAATATAATATATTCTATCTACAATTAAGGAAATTTGATTAGGATTTGATTAGTATTATTATTCTAGTAGTTGTGTACACTTTGGAATATATGAAATTCATAGATCTCAGCTCATAACATGGTATAAAGAGCCAGAAATTTATTTGTAGTCTAGGGTTTCATTTTTTTTAAGAAACAACCCAACCTAGGGTTTCATTTCATGGATTTTTCAAGTCTCACCTCCCGCCCAGCTTGCCTCACCAGCCGGAGCCGCCTTTGCTTCTCCGGCGGTTCTCACGCGCCGGCGCATGGAGGCTTGTGCATTGCCAGAAATTTTTTTTGGCCGACTTCCAGTTGCTCGCAATTCTGTGAGCTATTTGCTGCTCTTCTCGGTTTCATGTTTCAGGGGCTGGGCAATTCAGTTTTGGTTTTGGCTTTGGTTTCAATCATTTTTGTGTTCTGTTTTGTTTTGGTATTTCAGTATTTGCTATCGTTCATCTCGCGTAATTTTTTGGCTGATATATATCATGGCGGAGACTAAAGTTGCTTCTGAAATTGTTCTTATTTTTAACAAACTTACTGTTAAGCTTAATGGCTTCATTTTTCTTGGTTGGAGGAAAACTTTTACGGTCCATTTGCGAAGCATTGATAAGGACGACCATCTTGATTTGGATCCTCCTACGGATGATACCAAACTAGCCTGGCTCCGAAATGATGCAAAGCTATTGGTCCATAATCAAAATTCATTGAGCCTGACATCCTCTCATTAATCAATCACTGTGAACTTGTCAAGGAATTAATGTCTTACTTGACTTTCTTGTACTCCGGTCGTAGTAACATATCCCGCATTTACTCGGTGTGTGAGACCTTCCATAGGGGCGAACAACAGGATAAAACTCCGACGGCATACATTATGGAGTTCAACGGAGTTCATGAAGAACTCAATTCACTCCTTTCGTTGAGCGCAGATGTCAAAGAGATGCAACTTTTCCGTTGTCATTAGTTTTCTTAACTGGCTACAGCCTAAATTCGATACATTTAAGACTCAACTTATATCTGAATCTACCATTCCTTCTTTACAAGAAACATTTGCACGCTTTCTTCTTACGGAGAGTATTCAGGCACCACGTATTCTGATCATTCTAGTCATTCAATCATTCAATCCTGGGATGGGGCCATCCTACTCATTGTTTTGTTTATGTTGATGATATTGTGATTACTGGTAGTGACTATGGGAACTTAGGAGTTAAAAACTTTTCTTCAAGCCCATTTCCAGATCAAAGATTTGGGACCTTTGAAATATTTTCTTGGTGTAGAAGTCATGCGGAACAGGAAAGAATTTTTTTATTTCAAAGAAAATATGTTCTTGTCAACTCAAAGAAACAGGAAAGTGGATTTATATTAGGCTCTCATGATCACTCTAGGTAGTATGCTTCACTGATGCAGATTATGCAGGCTGCAAAGATGATAGAGATTAACTTTGGGTTACTGCATTTATGTTGGGGAAAATTTAGTTTCTTGGCAAAGTAAGAAGCAAAATGTAGTTTCTAGATCAGTTGCTGAAGCCGAATATATGCAATTTGTGAGGTTGTATGATGCATCAATTGATGAAAGAAATTGGCTTTTAACTCTCTGGCTTTGGCCTGATAATATAATCAGCTGCTCTTCATATTGCAGCCAACCCCATATTTCACGAATGAACTAAACACACCGAAGTTGATTGTCATTTTATTCGTGACAAGATCGAAGAACGGTTCATCATTACACAGAGCATGTCAAATCAGAAGACCAACTGAGAGACATATTTACGAAGGCTGTAAATGGGGCTGTAAATGGAGTGCGGATTGATAGCATTTGTAACAAGCTGGGCATAATCAATGTATATGCTCCAGCTTGAGGGGGAGTGTTAGTGTATATTGTGTAGATATAGAATAGTCCTTTTAGGAAATAATATATTCTATTTTATCTACAACTAAGGGAATTGATTAGGATTATTATTCTCCTAGTCGTGTATATAAATAGGGCTCTCTTGTACTTTTTGGAATATATGAAATACACATACTTCAGCTCATAACAATATGAAACTAGTAGCTACATCTTACCTTTTATGTATCACATGTTTAGTATATCTCACTTTGCTCTTTTGGTAAGGTAAGAGCTGCATCAGTGACCTGTTTTGCTGGAATGACTTCTTCCGTTTTCTTTGCCCTGCCCATGGATAAACAGGAATTTATTATAAGTTCTTTGGTAAGTTCTCTAATAAAGCTCAAACTCTCATATGACGTGAAATATGTTTAGCTCATTTCATACTTCATTTTTATTCAAAACCATCCCTTTAAACCCCACTATTGGAGGCAGGTTGATATACTTTATTTGGTAACTTTATTGTATTAATTTGTTGCAGATTAACGCTGCTCTAAATGATGAGGTTCCTTCAGTTAGGTCAGCTGCTTGTCGAGCCATTGGTGTTATTGGATGTTTCCAACATATTTACAATAGGTATAAATGATGTTAACCATGAATTTATTGGTAACTAGTAATGGAGGACAATCCTTACTTTTACGTTCCTAGCAGTGTAGAGGTTCTGGAAAAGTTTATCCATGCTGCAGAGCATAATACGCATGACTCACTGGTTTCTGTAAGTTTTCCCCCCTCTTGCCTCCTTTCTCTAAATTTGATGTTTTTATTTATTCATTTATTTTTATTTTTTTATTCTAAAAAATTCCTTCTCGCCTTGCCTTGCCTTGCCTGGCCCGCTCCTCCCCCACAACAGTAAATATCCATTATTTTAACTGTTATTTTATGTATAATTATATACTAATTACCAAGTCATTTTTAAAGGGACCTGAAAGTATCTTGAAGGCATGATATAGGCACCTGGCAGCCTACCTGTAACTATTTCATATTTCCTGGTCGCTGCACATTTCATTTAACATTTCAAAATGTGTTCAATGACAACTTCCAGGTGCGTATTACAGCTTCGTGGGCCTTAGCAAACATATGTGATTCTCTTAGTCATTGTAGCGATTCACTTGATGCTGGAAAAGGTTGTGTGACAGTGTTGGAATATAATATCTACTTTTCTTTAACTCAGTTTCTGTTCTCATATCTTATGTTATTATTTTGACAGTGTCGAGGAGAAGTGGTGAATTGATATCATTGCTAGTTGACAGTGCCTTGCGGCTGGCAAGGGATAATGACAAGGTAGGTATGCAAAGTTCTTAATATTTTAGCTAAATCAGGTTATTCTTTGAACATATATGAATATGTACGGCCTTGTATAAATAGAGTGATGTTACCTTTGACTCATAAGTTCTGGAGAGGTTATAAGATCGATTGATTCAAAGAGAAATCTCAATAGAAAAGCCTGTCAAACTGGCTTCAAATGTCTAATATCTACATGTTTGGTCTGGACCAGTCTCCTTCTTCCAAGTTCATCTTGATACATACTCTAGCTTTATTGACCTGTTTCTGTTTCATGCGTTATAGGTAAAAGCAAATGCTGTTAGGGCTATGGGAAACCTTTCAAGGTGTATCCGGTTTACAAGTCCAACACTTGTGCATGATGATCCACTGGATCATACACATATTGCAATTAAAAATGTGCCCAAGGATGATACTGAAGAACGGTCAGTCTCGTTCGCTTCAGCTTCTACGAGGAATCTCACTTGTCTTGAACAGATGGTGCAGACATTTCTATCTTGTGTTACAACTGGGAATGTAAAGGTTTGTGGAAGTTTACTGTGAGTGTTGCTACATGTTTAAAGCATTATTGACTAAATCAGTTTTCTTGAAACTGAAAATTCATGACAGGTCCAGTGGAATGTATGCCATGCATTGAGCAATCTATTTTGCAACAAAACTTTGAAACTGCAGGACATGGACTGGTGAGGGCTTGCTTTTTATCTGCGTATTTACTTCTATTGGAAACTATATAGAATACTTCATTTCTGTCTGTGGCACTGTGAATACAGCAAGTGATTGTTTGCTGAGAAATGAAGAAGACGTGATTTTTTGCAACTGTAAACTTATATTGAGCTTGATAGTTTCTTCAATCAAGGAAATATTAGTTTATTCCATCATAGACGATTAACATTTCATCGAGTCCATGTTTTGGTTGCACTTTCCAGTTCGAACTGGTCTCGTTCAAAATCTGAGGTGGTGGGCTCAAAGAGTTGTATTGTAACCTCTCTCAAATTATGCTTTAGATCACACATGCATCTTTTACCGCTTTAACCAGAAATAATTTGACTCCTGATTTCTTACCTGAATCATGAATCGTAAACCTGTAATTTAGTTTCTGAATTCAGGTATGAGTCTTGAGATCTTTTTTCGGTTTAAGTCCTGGAATGGGAAAATATGTCATGTTCCATCTTGGAAATGAGAAACTCATTTACTGGTTGTAGTTCAAATTTGAGTCCCATCACAGCATTCCCACCTTTGATTACTAACAGTATAAAGAAAGTTCTTCGTCAAGACATTGACTGGTTTAAAGTAGCATCCATCTAAATGTCATGAACATATTTCTTGTTTCTTTTAAATAATAATTAGGGAACTTATTTGTTGCTCATCAACAGTTGTAGCCATAAAGGATATGTTGACAATGCTAATAGATGCATGTATTTCAGACTAGATTTTTACCAGAACGAAAGAGAAATAATTTTAGACATGGCATATTAGCTTATAGGATTTAGTAAATTATACAGGTATCCATCATTATGCTACTTTTGCTGGAAGGGAAGCCTATCCGAGGATTTAAAGAGATGGAATTTCATTGTTTGTTGTTAGTTGTAGGCATAAATTTACATATTCATTCTTTTACTTTGCAGGGCTGCTTCTGTTTTTAGTATCCTTTTACTACTGCTTCGGGATTCTTCTAATTTCAAGATTAGGATACAAGCTGCAGCTGCTTTGGCTGTACCAGGAACTATAGATGGTAAGTTACTTACAACTTAGAGATAGTTCTTATTTAACTATCAGCACCCTCCTTTGTTAGTGATATCTCCCTCGCAACTGCTATTTTATTTGTTTCATTGCCCAGTATATTCCCAACAGGTTAAGGTCTGGGGGGTCAGTTGTACGCAGACCTTACCCTTGTAATTATACAAGGAGGCTGTTTTCGTAGCGACCCAAGGTGCATTGCGCCATTTGATATATATATATATATTTTTTTCTAGAAACTTCACTAATAGAAGAAGCACTAGAATTTAATTGAGCCATTTTGATCTAGTCCATTATTAGCACTATGCCCGGAGAATTGTCAACAATGACTCTTCCAGCTCCATTTGATTTATGAAGCGCAGCTAATCCCTAAAAGTTAGCCATTTGAAAATTCTCTCATTTCTTGGTTCTGTAATGTTTCTGTAATATCTAACATACGAAGCAGCAAAGAGAGGCTGCTCTTGACCAAGAAGTAGAAAGATACCTGCAGGGCTTGCAAAAAGATTGTGTTGAGGGGTCCTGAAGTTTAAGATGATATCGTATATTTGACTAGTATTAGCAAATACAGATTGTTTGAAGACTCATAGTGTAACTCGAATTGCGCGTAACAAAAGCAATGTCTTATGCGGTGTTATGGCCACCACTAACATACTAAAACTTCCAATGAAGGCTGAGCTAAGAAACTGATTGTGCTTGGGAAGATTAAGAAAGAAGGTCCTGTATAGCGCGGAAAATTATTTTCAATGCATTATGCTCCTGATGAATGTGGATTGGTGAACTACTCATCAATTTGAATTTGTTGAGTTATGGCTCATCTAACCTTTCTTTTCCCTACTTGATATTCCTTTTAAGTTGCGTTTTATGAGGACGTCTTTTATGTAAAGAGTGAGTCACTCACACATCTGGGTACGCATCATGAGTAATATTAATGAAAAGGTGATAATTTTAAGTATAAAATTTTCAATGCCCGATTGAAAATTTTCAATCGGGCATTGTACTACTACAAACTGGGTACGCATCATGCGTACTAGTTATTAATGATAACTAGTACTACTACAATGCCCGATTGAAAATTTTATACTTAAAAAATTAGAAATAAAAGTTTTTATTTAAATATTTGAATGCTCCTTAAATTTTTTATTATTTTATTTAAAATGACATCACTACCTATAAGATTTGCTCGTTCTATTATTTTCTAACTTATATCATATAATTGGCTAGATAAACAAATTTAATTAGTAATTAATGATTTTACTATTTTTCAATGATGATATATTATATAATTTAATTTTTATTTATATATGCATTATGGATAAAGAATCGAAGATCGTCAAAAGAAGATTAATTTGATATCACATATAAAAAATCAGTAACAAATAAAAAAGTTATTAAGTTTTAAAATATGTTTTATAATTTAAGTTGATTATGTGTTTTATAATTTTAAAAGTCCTAATGGACGTGGATAAAAGTCCAAATCTACATGAATTACTCTGAAGCACAGGATGTGACACATGATTACGAAGCACCAAAAGTTGACACATAGGCATGGAAAACTATGCATTTACATATAAGGAGGGATGTTGATAATGGTAATTAGGGTATTATTTTTGTCGTGACATCCACTCCTTTTTTAAAAGTGGAATGTTGATCGTGTCAATTATGGTTTGTAAATCATTTTGTTTCTTTCATCCTAACTCATATGCTGTCTGGATGGTGCAGATTATGGAAAATCTTATTACGATGTTGTCAAAAGTGTGGAGCATGTAGTTGAGAACTTCAAATCTGATAAGATTTCAGAGCCTTCTAATTTCAAATATTGGGTCGTGCTTGAAAAGCAGGTCAGATCAAGGAAATTACTTGAAATAGTGTGGTGTAGTTGCTAGCTTCTTTTTGAACGAAGTGGAAACATTGTGAAATTGCTACTAAAGTTTTCACTGTCGTATTGATGAAAGCCTTTTCATTTAGATTTGTCTTTTCCCTTTTGAGGAGATATCTTTTACTAAAATGTACAGTTCTTTGAAATTTCTTTTGCAAACAAGTCTGCAAAAGTTTCGCGTAAGTTGATATTGTCACGAGTTTCTGAAAGACTGATGGTTATAGCCTATCATGTCCATTTGTAGCAGGCATTCTTCGTAGTATTTCTATGGATTCCACTTACTTTTAATAATTCCATTTAAATATGGCTTGTGGGGTCAACATTTGTTTTGGTAATTTTTGTTTTTTACAGTTGACTTCAACCATGTTGCATCTGCTAAGTCTTGCTGCCAAGTCCGACCACCAAGCTATACAAGGTTTTCTAGTGAAAGTAAGATTAATTTATAGTTCACAAACCGTATTTATGTAGTTGGTCACACCTCTGTTCTATATGTTTGCTATATGGTCCCTTTATGTAAATTTATTTTGTAATTGTTGATCGAGACATCGAGTAATATAGGATCAATTATTTTATTTATTTGTTTATTTTCTGTAGAAAGCATCATTTCTCGAGGTCTGGATTAAGGATTTGTGCTCATCACTTGGGGAAACAAGTAACTTGTTTGATGAGGCAAAAAAAGTGGTGTCTACGGAACAGAAAAGGGACGCAGTATTGAGAACTATACGGTCACTGATTGATGTCTACGAATGCTGTAATTACCGACAAATTGCACAAAAGTTTGACAGTTTGGCCACTAGCTTGTTATAGAATGTGTCGTCTAGTCAGTAATTGTAAAATGGTTAAAGGGTTTCTCAAATAGTAGACTGCATTTTATTTGAATGAGGAGCTCCCTGTTTTTTATTTCTTATTTTCCCCTTCCCTCAACTTTTGTGATTGCCGATTTGTTAAATGGATCGCTAAGAGCATGTTTGTTCATGGAAATTTTTTGTTTTGTTTGAATTTTTTGGTTTGATTTGGTTAATTTTGAAAAAAGTGGTATGATTAATTGTTAGTGGGAATATTAAAATAATATTTAAAATAAAATAATTAAAATTGATTTGATGTAAAAGTAGGAGAGAGATGATTGAAGTGATGGTTAGTTAAAATAATGTGAGTGGATGAATAGTGAATTAAGGTTGATGTGGTGTGTATGAATGATTGGTTGATTAATTTAATTATATTAATAATATTGATGATAGTGGAGTTGAGTTAAAGTTTAGTTAAAAAAAGTGGTTGAGTTAAAATGTTGAAATTTTTTTGAAAACTTTTCATAAACAAACATGCTCTAAATGCTGTTGAATTTCATGAACAAAACGTACACATTATGTTGTCTTCATTAAAATATTCTTATAATGTAGTGCAAGTGTGAAAACTAGTGTGAATAAAGGCATTGATTTGGTAGTGTGTGCCATATCATTTTTCATAGTGCAACGACACCGTTGTCTATAACTAGTGTTGCATGTTGTACGGCAAATAGGTTCGGTCTCGAAGGTTGAAGGCTATGTTTGGTAGACAAATCAGCTAGCTTATAGCTTATTTGGTTAGCTAATAAGCTTCTTGTGCTTAAATAAGACTATGACTATGTTTGGTAGATAAATAAGTTAGTTTATATCTTATTTGGTTAGCTTATAAGTTCCCTGTATTCAAATAAGTTTCGTTTGGTAGGACGAGCTTTATTAAAAAGCTCGAGCTTATTTGATAAGCTTCTTTAGGTAGCTTTTCAAATAAGCTAGTTGAATTTTTTATTTCAGCTATCTTATCAGCTAATTTTACCAAACAGTTTTATCATATAAGCTACCTTTTCAGCTATAAATCATAAGCTATAAGCAATAAGCTAAAAAATTACTGATAAGCTATAAGCTAGCTTATCAGTTAGTTTTACCAAACATAGCCTATGTTTGGTAAAATTAGTTGATAAGCTAGCTGATAGCTGATAAGCTAGCTTATGGTTTATATGTAATTTTTGAGCTTATAGTTTATGACTTATAGCTGAAAAGCTAGCTTATATGATAAAAGCGTTTGGTAAAATTAGCTGATAAGCTAGTTGAAATAAAAAAATTCAACTAGCTTATTTGAAAAGTTACATAAAGTAGCTTATGAGATAAGCTCGAGCTTTTAAAAAGCTCGTCCTACTAAACGAGGCTTATTTGAATACAGGAAGCTTATAAGCTAACCAAATAAGTTATAAGCTAGCTTATTTGGCTTACCAAACATAGCCTAGGTTTCGTTTAGTAGGACGAGTTTTTTTAAAAAGCTCGAGCTTATCTCATAAGTTTCATTAGGTAGCTTTTCAAATAAACTCATTGAAATTTTTACTTCAGCTAGCTTATCAGCTAATTTTACCAAATACTTTTATCATATAAGCTAGCTTTTCAGCTATAAGTCATAAGCTATAAGCTATAAACTCAAAAATTACTGATAAGCTATAAGCTAGCTTATCAGCAATCAACTAACTTATCCGGTAATTTTACCAAATATAGTTACCATCCATATATGGGAGGGCCAACATGAATTTATCGTCTGACCAATGACGTACTTACACCAGTGTGAGTATGTGTTGATCTATCGTCAAGTAGGTTAAATTTGTTCCTTTTTAATATTTTTGAAAACTTTTGCCGACATACAATATTAAAAAATAAACTATACATGCCTCATTTATAAACAAGTCATATTGCCCTCTGAAAACTACATATACGTGTATTAAAAATTATTTTAATTCTTACTGCCCCTTTTCATTGTGAAACTCTCCCTCGGCACAGAACCAAAAACTCAATTTTCCAAAACCCACCCCCGACCCCCATGGTCCACATTCATGTTGACAGATGGGGCTTGTGTGACGGCCTTCTGCCTAGCCTCCTCCTTTTCGGTCGTGGTGTTGTGTGGCCGTCCCGGTCGCACCGCTCTCGTCATTGGCAGCGGAAGCTTCATCTTGAACTCGACCGACCCGCTCGCATCCCCTTTCAAACTCGCAGAGGTGCTGCTTGTCTACAGGCCACCGGACAGCTCTCTTTCGGGCTCGGGCTGATTCTCAGTCGTCTCTTTCGGGCTCGTTTTCAGCCTGCAAATCACAACACAAAGGTGAATCACAACAAACCTAATGAAATGAACAACAATAAAGGGCTGAAAGTAAGAGATAAAAGGGAAAGAAAAAATCTCCCTTTCGTTTGCCGGAATCTCGCTGGATATTGAAGACACGAAGTCTCCCGGGCTCAGATAGTCCTTCTTTCCGGCACCCTCGGCTCAGTCACGGCTCGGTGGTGGTCAACGAACGGCGACCCTGGTTCCTCATCCCGCACTCCGGGCTGCACCTTACCCACGAGCCCAGCACCAGCCTAGCCTAGCCCCGTCACCAGGCACTCTCCTCCGCACACGGAGTCACCGAGGCACCACGAAAGGTCCTCTGACCGACGAGCAAAGGAGGCGACAACGGCGGCTCAGCGGCGGCACACCGGTGGCTCACACTACGGCTCTCACGGCAACACTCACCTCTCACACACTCCAAAGTTCACGAAGAACAAAAGGAGAGGACAAGAAATCACTCGGGGTTTTTCACTCACAGAGAGAGAAAGGGCGCCTCGAACAGATAGAGAAGAGAAGAGAGTGGGAGTCTTCTGTCGTGTTGTAGGCGGAGAGATAGAGATATGGTATTTAAGGTGTAGTGAGTGGTTGGGATTTAATCCCCAAATCCAACGGCTCTAAGTAAACTGGGTAAGGGCCAGGCCCAGACGAGATTTGGGCTGTGACATCCTTGGGCCTGAGAGTTGGGCCAAATTTCCAACACGTGGATTGGGGCTTGCGACGACAGCTCTCTGCGGCGAGACTAGTTGGGATGACTATTTCGGCTTTTGGTTTCTCACCCGTCTAGAGCCTTCTCCGTGGGGACTCGGATTTGCTTTCGAGTTTTGTCTACTCGTCAGATCTAAATATCCGATCGAGCTTTGGATTGGAGTTTTTAGATTTGGGGACTTTAGATATAGTTCTCATTTTGTCTTTGAATTCGGAGACTGACTTTTGTGTTAGGTTGGGTGGCATCAACAATAGGATTGCTAGAAGTAGGGGATGATTTTGTCTAATTTTTTATTGTATATATGTTATGTTTATTTTTATTGTTATTTTGGTTGTTAGTCCTATTGTATCTGGGTCGTCGTCTCTTATTGAAGTGATTTATCTATCGTGTTCGGAGTGTTTGTGTTTTAGTTCTCAAGTCCCTTTGTTGATTGTGTAATTCTAAGGTGAGGTTGTGGTGTCAGTTGTCATCTCAGCTATGTTGTTTGAGGAAAAAACAAATTATAAACAAAAAAAAATGTAATTTAAAAATCAATGACAAAATTAAATCTTATATCAACCATTCATTGTCACACCCCGCTTTACTAGCTTTGAAAAATTAGAGTAAAATTTTTGCTTTCATTTTTGAAAGATTGTGCGAGCTTGGTTTTCAAAAATACTAACTTGTTGCGGGATGTCACAAATAAAAACTTACTTAACTTGCTCACAGACATATATAAAACACGCAACCAAACTATCCGCTACGGATAATGAAATTAAACATGCAATGTCTGAACTGTCTCGCACTGTCTAGTCTGCTAGCGGAAGCATCCGAAATACAGAAAATACATACATACATATCCGAATAATACATGATCATAAATACTGGGACATAAAATGTGCGTAAAAATGTCCAAGACTCTCATGACCACGCTTTGCCACGTCTGTGCTCATCCAGCACGCTCGACTCCGTTTCCTGAAAAACACAATGGGGGCGTGAGCAAACCACTATGCTCCACAAAGACCAGTACTGAATAAAACAACATTTATAATAACGTGTCATGAACATAAATATATAAGAGCTTAAACTGTAAACTTTTCTTTTCTTGCTTTACTGTGGTCAAAAGACCCTCGGCCCTTAGGTCGGCCGCTCGTGTGCACACCCCGATGGGATATTACAAGGAAATCTATCCAGCTTCTTCAAAAGGTCCCTCCGGCGCCACGTGAACGTAGTGCCATCAGTTCTTAAGGCCCTTGGACTCAACTGTTGGGATCTGTGAGGATCTCGTTATGTACAAATCACGAATTCAATAGCAAACGTAAACCTATGCGCAGCGGATCTAAAGGTTTGACGTAGAGAACTTACAGCTTAAAATATATGTAAATCTGGCTGACCACGAACGGTTCACCGCAATTGATTGACCGCAAATCACGTCTTGGGTTGCACGAACAAGATCAGATCAAAATCGGATCAAACAGATGCAAACAGATCAAAACGAATTTTTGCAGTCAGGCTCCTTCCGGCGGCGCGTAAGGGCGCGTGCGGCAACAGAATCCAGCGATGTCGGCGGTGATGGAAAGCTCTCGTCGAGACGGTCGTCTGGGTATACTGTACGTCTCAATCGGACTTCCGGTTAGTTCTGTAGGTCAAAATATATTTCGTCTCGGTTTACCTACAGATCTTCTACTGTATTACTCAATATACCCTTCTTCAACTTGTACCAGTGGAGCAACAAGAAGAAGATAAAACTCGAATGAGATCTAGAGAGAGAGAGGCGTGTGAGGCGTGTATCTCGTGTGAATGAGACTTCTGTTCTCTTCTCATGAGCTTAATGATGTATATATAGAGCTACAGTAGGGACCCTAAGGAGATTAGGAAAAGGGCTCCTTAATTAATTAGACTAATTGTGGGCCAAGCTCACTCCTCTAATTAATTAAATAATATTAATGGGCCACCAACATTATATTATTGCACTCCCTCTTCCTAGCCCAAATTACATTTGAGACTCCAATAATAATTACTCGATTTACCTCCCAACGTTTAAGATATAATGTCCATTACTGACAATCAAGAATTAATTAATTTATTATTATTTCACCGAAGCTAGCGCTCGTTCATCACATTCTTATTATGCCGGAACTTAATCCACCTGCAGAGTTTAGCATAACAATCCTTCATGAACTCACTCTGGGGACATCATCAAACTAACGCACATGGTGACCGTAAATATCCTAACAGCACATCCTATATATAATAATATTACCCAAAACAGTACGAATATTAATCCAGCGAACTGAACCTCACCCATGTGAATCAAAGTAATATATATTATATATATCTGCCTGTTTAATAT